TACAACAAAAGCAGTGCTTAGAGGGAAAGTTATAGAATTAAATGTATATATAGAAGAGAAGAAAGATCTAAAATAAATAATGTAATCTGCCACCTTAGGAAACTAGAAAAAGAAGTGGTATATCTAGGATCAGGCATAAACATGGCCACAGAGGGCCCAAGTAAGCTGCGTAAGGAAGAGGTCCCTCATGTCATCCACAAAGTTGCATCAGAGCTTCTCCCTCAGCTCAAACCTACGACCACATGGGAGTAGTGAGTCCTTTATGACCAGATGTTGGAGTAAAAAGGCTGAATTTAGTTCAAGGATAGGTCAAATTGGTATAATAGACTATAGAGGTAGATCAGAAAGATAGCAGTGAAAGGGGAAATCCTCCCAGTGGGCAGAATTTCTGGTAGTGTACTTGGTCATCCACTTTGTATGGAAAGAGAAGTGGTCTGGGATTACAATATATGTGGACTCAGATAGTGGTCAACAACCAGTTGGTTGATTGTTCAGGACCGTGGAAAAGGAAACATCAGGGATAAAAAAGGTCTGGAAAAAAGGCACATATTTGGAATTATGGCAATGGGTAGAAAGTGTAAGGATCTTTGTAATTCATATGAACGCCTATCAGAGAGTGCCTATTACAGACACCAAACAACCAAGAAGACAGAATGACTTGGGCAGTTAACATCAATCTGCCTCTGTTACTGAACACCCCAGTGCTGGCACAATAGGCACATGAATGAAGTAGTCATTGTGACAGAATTGAAGGCTATGACCCCACAGCAAAGGCTCCCAGTCATCAAGGATGATATAGCTACTGCTGTTGACAAATGCAAACCACTACCATCTGTCAAGGAGATAACCTGGCTTCTTGGTGTCAAATAGTCCAACTGGATCCCTTCTATCCTGGAAAAACAAGTGACTCATCTTGATTGGCCTCGACACTTATTTCGGTCATGGGTTTGCCTTTCTTGCTTGTAGAGCTTTATCTAGCACCATATTTGAGTATTTATTCTGCTGACAGGATCCCACATAATATTACATTGGCCCAAGGGACCCACTTTACAGGAAAGGAGGTGTAGCAGTAGGCATATGACAACAGAATCTATGAGTCCTGTAACATGCAGAAGCTTTCAGCCTGATGGAGTAATGGAAAAGCCCATTTAAAGGTGCCTCTGAGGGGCCAGTTTGGACATGATAACCAGTGAAGATGTGGTGCCATCTTCCAGGATGCAGCATATACTCTAAATCAATTACTGTTATATGAAGCGGTTTCTCTTAGAACATGTGAGTCCAGTAAGCCAAGGGTGGAAGTAGTTCTTACCTTAATTCTCAGTCATCTGTTCTTTAATTCATGCTTCTCATCCCCACGATTTTGGTCTATGTGCATTTAGAGATCTTGGCTCCCAGAGGGCTCCCAGAAGGGAAATGCTTCCACCAGTGAGCACAGCAAGAGAGCTATTGAATTTCAAATTATGTGTGTCACCCAATCACAGTGAATTCCTTATGTTGAGAGAGCAACAGTCAAGGAAAGGAAACACCATCCATGAATAACTGATCCTGGTCATCAGGAGGAGGTAGAGCTGCAGAAAGAATATGGAAAGAGCATGTTTGGCACCGGGTACTGCACTTGAGTGTCTCTTGGTGCTCTGTCACTCAACTTCGAAGTAAATGAATAAGTGCAGCAGCCACAGCCTGACAAGGACAGGTGATCAGGGCAGGGGGTGGGGGGCGGTGCTCGGACTTCTCAGAGATGAGGATCTGGGTCATTCCATCAGGTTAGTCGCCTGCATCAGCAGAGAGGCTGAGGGTGTGGGGAATCTAGATTGGATAGTGAAGGGAGATGAGTGTTATTTGTGGCCTTGAGACCAGCTTCTGTGGCAGGGGCTATAGTTTATCTCTCTGATCTTCCTTTTATAAATTTCTCTCATGAATAGAGGTCCATCGGAATCCTGAATTAGCATCTCCCAGAACTTACACAAAGATCTAAGTTGTAGAAGGGCGGACTGTAGTAGAAGCTGTAGGACACTTCCTGGATCTCCCTTCTGGCCCTGTACTTCAGCACTGAAGTCCTCATCCCCACAGGTGCTGGGAGTATTGACAGCTAACAGTTTGCAAATGAATTCTCCTTCCCAGTAATCACCCTTAGCTGAGGAGGGCCACCTTGCTCAAAGTCATACCCCCTTGCTGGGGACAGCTCTTGTCCAGTGATTGTCAATCAATGAAAATCTTTAAAGGCTCAACTTTTTTGTTCCAATTTGGGGCATCTCCATAGGGTCATCCTTGCTCCAGAGCTCCTCATAGGATGAGCTGAGTTGAGGTCTTTGTCGTGACTGTGTCGCGGTTCAACTTCTCCCTCTGCCCAGTCCTGGTTTCTTCTCTCCCATGTGTTCTGGAGAAGGCGCTTCTTGCACACAAACCTCAGATTCAAGAGTCTGCTTCCCATAGAAACCAACCTGCAATAATCTAAAGAGTTGGGTCTATCCTTTCCTATATGTTCTTAAATATAACTAAGATGTCTTTAAGAAAAAAAAAATCCTTTTGCTTTCCTTGCTCATTTGGGGCATTCACTTTCTAGATATTAATACAACTTTGATGCTGTCATATTTTCATCTTTGGCTCAAAGCTCTGCTTTTCGTCTGTTATATTTATCATTAGAAAGCAAGGGATTATCAGTGAGGTCTCTACACAGTCACATGGGTTTGTTTGGTATGCTTCTTGCTTCTTTATTGGGATTATTTGTAATAATCTAGTGAGTTACTTTTTCAGTTCTTCCCAAACTTTATAGCTGTTTCCTCATCTGCATATAGGCATCTATATATTTTCTTTGAATCTTTTGTGTTCTACTTTTGTAGAGACTTGGATACATGTATGACCCAGCCAGACATGTTATGATTAATTTCTCTTAAAATTCAAATGTCTAGGCCTGCTCTAGTTGTCTCCCCTCTCCTCTTTACCTTCTATCCCCCGAGTATGAGCTAACTGAGAAGTAAGACTAATAGTGCATTGAGAGGTTCTTCCTTAGCTGTCAGTAGAATTCAGAAATATTCTGGAGCCCCCTTCCTTTGTGTGAGATGAGTTGCCCCCTAAGGGTAACTCTTTTAAGTAGTGGGTTGCAGCCTCCATGGTTGACCCCATGGTATTTGAGCAGATAGACTGCTGGGCTTCAGGCCATGTTCTTGGTTTTCCCTTCTATCCTCTGATGGGCCAGGAGCCAGTCCAGCTCAACTGGCTGAGGCTCTGACCCTTTCTCTTAGCTTCTGCCAACTCTCTTTGTTTCTGATATTTCTACCTTGATCCAAATGTAGATCTTTGAGTCAAGACTGGTCAACAGGATGCCAGAAACTCTTTGCTTCCCAGAATGCCACACTCCTCTCAGCAAGCCTTTCACACTGATGCTGGCCCAAGTTGCACCTGCATTCTCTACAACTCACCTGAATCCACACAAAGACCTCAAACCTGAACTGTTAGCATTTACAGCTTGGGTGAGTTCCCTGCCTTGTACCAGCCACCTCAGCAAAATCCTTTTTCATAGTGAATGCCCACATACCCATCACTTCAGCTAGTACTCCTGTTTTGACAAATTAGTTCCTGTTAATGAGAATTAAGCCCAGAGCAGTAGTCCCCCCCAATTAGATCCACTACTCTTGGAAGAATAAAATTGCTGGCAAAGCAAGTGACAAATGTTCCAGAATTTCAGCAATTTTCTGCAATGTGACTTTGTATGAAGATTTAATTTAGGTTTAGTTGTGACCAAAATATCTTGCCTGTTTAATAGTTTTGTTGTGCATTTTTGAAAGTTAGTCTAGGTCTCCATCTCGGCAAATAGATTATATTATCTTTCCATAATTATATTATTTAAATTTTCCCTAACTTCATATTTGTAGATATTCAAAAGGGTAGGTATCTTTTTTAAAACAAGAAAAGCATAATTATTAACAGAAAACAAGTAGTATCAACACGTACACGAGGCACAGTAAAATAATTTCCTGGGGTTATGAAATAGAGAACAATTTATATGACAGACACTCTAGCATCAACTATATACTGGGGGGGGGGAAATATCAAGTATTAAGAACATCTCAGAACCAAGATATTCTAAGATTTAGCAGGTAGATAGTGGCTTGTAATAAAACAGTAATTAAATGACAATGGTTACGTTATAGTAGCCTAATAACTGAAACACTTGATCTTTCCAAGGACAGATAAACAGGTTAAAATACATTACATTTTTTAGGATTTCCTAAACTAAGATCTTACACTTGTAAACGTTTACTTAAAATCATTAGTAGCTTGATCTCTTAAGCAAATTATACTTAGCTTGGGCCAATATTAAATTTCATTTTTATTCTATAGCTCAAGTATACATTCTGGCCCTGGATAATCCATAGTAAATGATTTATTCCATACAAATGAAGAATCATTTCATGTGATCTAAGTTGCACAATTTAGCATAGCACCACCCAAAGGCAAGCCTATACTTTAGATCAGTATCTTTCCTGAACTCAAATAAGTGGCTGCCTGCTTTCCTTCAAACCAGTATTCAGTTAAATGAGAAGTAATAGCCTGGGATACCTCTGCTTGTTGATTCCACCTCGTTGTGCTAGAATAGTGACTTGAATTTAAGGAATAATTTTTGAAGCAAGATAATTTAAGACCACTAAAGAAGTGACAAGGGAACTGCATTGCTGTTTGTCTCAAGAAGCCATTCTGTGTTCAGTTTAATGTATGTCCACCAATGCAAGGCAAATCGTGGGTGGACTGAAGCTTCAGCCCCCACCCCCGCCTTTTAATTCAATCTAAATACTCCAGATCTTCTCTTGAGAATTAAAAACAAAACTCACGTTAAAAGCATCTTTAAAATTCTATACTTGAGTGAAAGATTTGGAAATAGAGGGATCTAGACAAATGGGGTAAGAGTTGGGATAGAGCTGTCCTCTAATTCAAGGTTTTACAAAGCCGAAGCTGGGAACCCAACAGTCGGGTACTCCTGACATGCTTGCCGGAGAACCCGATTTTAATAGAGGTTGGTCTTTTTCATGATGCGAAGAAACTCTTCTTCGTTCACTTCGCCGTCTCCATCCCGATCGGCTTCGTCAATCATTTCCTGCAGCTCCTCATCAGTGAGGTTTTCCCCCAACTCGTGGGACACACGCTTCAGGTTTTTGAAAGAGATCTTCCCAGTTTCATCATCATCGAAGAGCCTGAAAGCCTTTAGAATCTCTTCTTTGGTGTCTTTCTCGGCCATCTTCTGAGTCATCACAGCCAAGAAATCATTGAAGCTAATTTTCCCCGTACCTTCCTTGTCCACCTCGGAGATCATCTTCTTCATCTCTTCCTTTCTGGGTTCAAAGCCCAGCGCTCTCATAGCCACCTTCAGCTCCTTCACGTCGATGGTCCCACTTCCGTCAGCATCGAAGAGGTCAAACGCTTCGCGAACCTCTTGCTTCTGATCTTCAGTGAGTTCAGGCTTAGGACCCACCTTTCTCTTTTGGCTGGTAGAGGGCACGTTTGGCTTCTTAAAGCTGGAAGCCATCCTTCTGCGGCGGTTAGTACCTTCAACGGTGCCACAGCGGTCACAACGCTCGCGCCAACCCCTCTCTCCTGCCCGTGAGCGCGGGCACAGGGCCTCCCTTTATTCGTTCTCTAACTCTTCTCTTGTGTCCTCTTTAGTGAGACCCAGCTCACAAAGCCCGTCATTTCTGCAAGATCTTATTTCGTTATAATCCATAGCTCCCTCGGTGATTACCCGGTTTCCAAGAGCTGAGACCTGCTCTGGCAATAACTGCCTGCAGCCACAGTTGTCTTCTATAATGCACTGACACTTACTAGTCTTTCCAGGTTTATACGGTTATTTAGAGGTTCTTCGTCTCTCTTCCATACTAATTTAAAAAAACCTCTTGGTCTGAGGTTACCTAAGGGTAAATTTAGGATAATCAAGATTGAGTTTGATCCCTTGGCATTACATGTGGGGAAGATGGAGGAGAGAATATTAAAAGTCACACCATGTGTTCAAACTGACATAAATGGAAAACAGATAAAATGGAAAAAGTTATGTATAAAATTTGTGGAAGTTTGTCTCCTGACATTATACTCAACAATAATAAAACTTCACTAGCTTATTTGGCATACACTGAAATATGAAATGTAATATCCAAATGTATGATTTACTTTCAGTGTTTCAATTTTACAAACTCAAGATAATTGCATTTGAGTAACAGTCATAATTTCATTCACTAGGCTTTTGATTTGGAGAAAGGGGGGTGGAAACACTACATTCCAGTATTCTGGCATTTAAAAAATCTCTGGCAGCATATTACTCTCACTGTTAATCATCCAATCATGGCTATGCTGAAATCCACACTCTGATTGCCCTGCTCTGGCAGTGGACATGGGCAGATGATGCAGAGCATGTTGGGACTCAAAATTGCCTCCTGAAAACAGAGGGGCAAGAGGAAAATGGAAGCTTTTCAGGTAAAAAGAAAAATAAAAAGTCATCAGGTAAGCCCAAAAAGGAATTACCTTTAGAATTGCTCTGTATTTCTTTAACTTTTTTTTAACAGTTAAAAAAAAAAGCTGACTTTCACCATTCAATCTGTCATAAGAGAGGGCATTTTTAAGAGTTTTTATTGAGGAGTTTTTGTATCTCCAGAATCTAGAATTGTTCGACACATAGTAGGTAGACTAATATATGTTGAATAAATAAATGACAATTAATGTTGGTCTTAATATACTTCTGAGTCATTGAAATGAAACAACAACAACAACAAAAAACCCCAAAGGATTAAATTATGCTAGGAGTGTTTTACAAATTTAGGTTTGTTTTTTTTAAAATTAGTGGTCAGATATTGTTTACCTGACATGTTTAATTAGTTATATTTCACTACTTGCCCCAGTCTACATGTGACATAGTGGACAGAAGATCTGAGCACAGGGTTTCTAAAAATCAATGAAATTTACTTTGTCAAGCACTCATCACAGAATGTGTCAATGCAAAGCAGACTGGCAAGTAGACACTGCTGTTGCCAATCTTCCAACATTGCAATTCCTCCTGCTTTCTTAATCAGGTCAAACAACCTAAGATCTTAGCCAAGCCCATGCTTTATTATCTCTGTGACTTTGAGAAAGTCACTTAACCTCCCAGACTCAGTTGAAGCATCTGCAAAGTAGGCATAATAATACAGCTTCTCAAGAGGGCTTTTGTTCAATGAGCTCCTCCTGGGACAGTTCCCTAATGGGACTATACAGGTCTGGATAATTGTTAGTTGAGTCTGAATTCCTCCCAGACATTGTACATTTCTCTTGACACCCACTCCTCTGCCCAAATTCAAGTCATACTATGATGTGTTGGGAAAGACGTAAGTAGAGAAGCTGCCTTAGGTAGAGCTACATTTGGGCCAAATTGAACTCAAAGCACAATGGTTGTCATGGTTTCCAAATGTATACAATCAACAGTCAGGCTAAGGGCCACCAAGAACTCCCTTCATAGAAAACAGTGCTCTCAGCAGAGTCAGCTCTTGGTGGGAAGTTACTTTATGTTCATAATCTGGAATCTGATTTTGAAAAGGAGAGGACTTTTACATTAATCGTGTGCCTAGGATTGAACTTGGCTTCTTGCATATGCTGTCTTATTTAATCCTTGTGATCATTTCCCATTTTGCAGATGAAAAAAAGAAAAAATGAGGCCCAGGAGAGGTCTATAATGTATCCAATGGTACACAGCCAATAAATGGTGGCTTTGGGATTTAAACCTTGGCCTGTCTGAGTCTAATCCTGAAGCTTTATTTATACCATGCTGCCTTCTCCAAAAGCTGATACTATTACTAAAAAGTAGCATCACTGGGAAGATATGATACTGATTTTCCTCCCCAAACCTAACAATTATTAAGTATCTTACTTAGAAAGATTTAACAAGATTTTATAGGATCTCAGACAGGGTGCCATTCTGGGTCAAGTCATTGAGAGAAAGAGCAATATGCTTGATATTTACATTTATTCTTCTTTAATTCTGCTTCACTCCATTTCCTGCTTTCAGCTCTGAGTACAAGTTAGTGGGAAGCAGTCTGGGCAAAGTACTTTTAATTGGCATTAGAGTCTATATAGTGCTTGTGAAAATTAATTTCATTGCTTTAATATCACTTTGTAAGTTCAAATAAGATTTACATAAAGTAAATGAGATGTCCTGGAAAGTCGATAAATATGAGCAGTTTTGTCTTGTTTTGTTCTTACCCGTAAAATTCTCTGTACCAGAAAGTCCTAGGTAATATACTAAATTAGTTGTTGATTATCTGAGAGAGGGAGAGGAGATGGTTGTTTAAATCCAGTCATGGAAGCTTAACAGCTGGAAGTGGGTAAAAAGAGAGGCTGGAATTCCACTACAAGGTCTGGGGTCAGTTGAGACCAAGAGGAAGGACCTACACAGCTTGCTTATTCTAATTATTTGGTTTTCCATTTGACTTGCATGGCATGAAAAAGTGAGGCTCGGGAGCCTTTTAAAATTTAAGTTGCAGTCAGCAAATTCAGCAAATTCCAGGTACCACCCAAGGCAGAAAACATGCATAATAAAGTTTCTTTATTGCTACTTATTTACTTTCCAACATATGCAGAACAGAGAAAATACAAATGCTCGACACTTCTATGTAAGGACAACTATGCAGAGCGGTGGAGGTGTGACAACCAAACCAACAAATAACAGAACTAAACTATTTATTTTTGAATATGTGGAGCCATTTACAAGAAATGAGCTGAGCAGCAAGTTTTACAATCCCGATGGTCTTTGAGACTAGGAAGTCCAGCACAGTGACTCAGCTCAGGCCTTTTTGGCAAACCCAGGAACAGACTTAAGTGTCCAGCAAAGGCTACATAATTTCTCATTCCATGAACCCCAGAAATAGAGAAGTACTCTTCTCAAATAGAAAAGCAGAATGTGTTTTAGAAAGGAATTTACCAAAATCTCACATTGCTTCTCAAACTGTCACCCAAATACTCCTGATGGTGAAGGAGATTTAAAGCACTCCCTTGAGACCCAGAGAAACATTTGAAAAAAGCGTACACCAAGTATGAAATCCTGTGTTTATCTTTTTTAAAAATGAATGTTCTGCTCCATAACAGAACATTTGCTGGTTCTATTATGTTTTTAAATGATGGGCCATCGAGCAAATTTGATTTCCTCCAAAAAATGCACTGTGCTTATGTTGTGACTTTAAGTGTACCCAGAGGACATGGCCAGGTGCTAGTAGAACTTTTTATGCTTTAGCAAACTTGGATGTGAGATCTGATGTGGAGAAAAATAAAAATTGATGATGTTCTTCCCCCACCCCCAACCAGGATCCTCTCCACTTATACATCATTTGGATTTGTGAGTCAAAGAAGAGGGAGGAAGGACATGTGAAGAGGAGAGAAAGGATGATGAATGAATCTCTAGAGCATTCTGAATTTGGGGTGAAATGAAATGCATGCAAGGAAAGAATGACTGCCCACTCTTCTCAGAGCCCAAATTAGCCCAACTTAAGCATTACTTTGATGGAAACAAGCTGAGAAAAGACACAATCTATGTGGATATAAATTCAAAGCAGAACCTCACAGGATTTATGATCCAGTAGTTCACCACCTTGTAAGAAATCTGCAGAGGGCCCATCGAGTGCAGGCATGTAACAGAAAATGCAGAACCAAGAGGCCTGGGAATGGCTTACTTGGATTTTTAAAATATCTCAGAGACTAAGCTGTTGGTTTACTCTTTGATCCACCTTCTTTCATTCTCCAAGAGCCTGGAGATTTCAGCATCTAAAGCTGACTCCTCTGTCAACTGAGGAAAATTTTCTGCTCACCAGGAGAGGAAAGGTCAAAAGCCCACAGGGGTGTTAGTCACACAAAATGAGCCAAGTGGGCTGCATGCTAAGGGTGTATTTAGGGATTAGCAGTGACCTGGAGAGTTTGAGCCCTTTCAAAAGTCATTGGAAGTCAACTTAAAAAACAAAACCTACAAAATAACTGTGTAGGCCCAAGAAAACAGGTCAGGCAGAACTTGGCCTTTGGGCTGCGTGTTGTTCATCCAGTCCTTGTATTGGCCACTTCTGGTGGGGTTTAAGTAGTAAGGACACCTCTCAGACAAAAAGACAGAGCCAAAGGGAAAATTGAATTCTAGCCCAAAGTCCATTCATGTCTAGTTGCTTTAGCAAAGCATAAATATCTTCTTGAAGGATAGATCATGCCATAGGACCAGCCCATAAGGCACGGTGAACTACTGCAGATATAGCAATTACTTTGGTTTTCTCTCCGAACCAGCTTGAATGGAGAGGAGCCCACCCTGCCCACCCTGTCCCTGTGTCCTTTTCACCAGCACCCCTTTGGGCACTGAGGGCACCTCCGATTGGCAGTGGGGCTGATCCAGATACAGTCCTTGGGGACTAACCCTGAGGTCTTGTGTATGACGCAGCGAGGGAGCAGATTAGCTGGGGACTGTGACTCTTTACCACATATGCCACAACAGCCGTGTTTTCAGAGGTCTGCTCCCCAACTCACTAGGAATTGGGGAAACCA